TAATTAATACCTACGCACTGTGAAATCTAATTAGATACTTGATTTAATTTATATATCTTCTTACTAATAATTAATTTTACATGGATACCTACTCTACGTACCAATTATTTTAATTTTGGTATATTTTATAAATCATAATGAAGGGTTTTTGTATAATTGGAACTCTAAACAAGCTGAGGGGCCTAAAGGACCTGATGGTAAGCGGTATTGGTGACTACCATTATACATGAATAGCACTTACGGACACGACTTTATCACGTGATATCCGTGATGCCACTGATGCAGTTGCAGTTGTATATTGCAATCCAGTTGCTGTTTTTCTTTCCAGAGGACTAAGGTGTCATGACAATGAAAATATCCTATAATTTCACTGTATGACCAAAACACATCCTTATAAAGCAAGATCTAACGGGATCGATTTCGATGAAATTTTATGTATATGTTTCAATAAGTTCCTGGATGGTATGAAAACACAATTAGAATCGGTAGGTGGTGCTGTTAAAAATGTAATACTGGCTTACAGGTATAATATACTTAATATTATCTTAATCTTATTATAATTAACTTCAAAAACATTTGCTTTGTTTGTAATAATTTATGGTATAGTAAAATCACTTAATATGAAATGATACAACGATTGTCATAAATAAATTGTACCTACAATGGCAGACTTATCCCAAATGAAGGATTTCTTCCAGCCAACCTATGACTGAGAGGAATAGAATGCTTAGACATAAATGATAACGACAACAAAAAATTCTATGTACCTACCTAAATATATAATACGTAAAATTTTAAAAACACGTACATTAGTTAGTAAAGTACATAGCGGAATTTATTACGTACAAATATATTGACGCCGCCATGTTTATATGATTTTATGTAGGCATATTGTCTAGAGATTTTTTACCATAGGGTGCATCTTACATACAGATCAACATCTGCATCTTCCTTATTTATTTATATTTATTTATTAAAACTTTAATGCACATAATTTTAAAGTACATATGGCGGACTTAACACCCTGCAGCATTATCTACCAGTCAACCATGGTTGGTGCAGAGAATCATTGTTGGCAGTGCAAATATAAATATATTAAACGATACACATAAAAATATATATGAATAAATAACTACATATATACATATATAAAGACACATATATAAACTTATTACATTTAGTTGTGGTCAGCGTAACATGTTTTTCTCGTCCATTCATTCCTGTTCGCAGTAACAACTTATACACTAATAAGACCACTTGGTCATGTGCAAAATAACAATATGATTAACTATTCAATGATTGGTTAGATTGCAACATTTTTTTTCCTCTTGTTCAACATTACACAAGCGATTTATCGTAGAGACCTCCAAGTATCCTTTTTGGCTGGTGAACTGCGATGCATATCTTATCACTCACTATTGGCACATAATCAATTAGATAGGACGTGCAGTATACGAGCATATACTGAGGTATAATGTTATATTCATAATAATTACTCGGTGGTAATATTTAAGTCATTCTGGACGTTCCCGCTGGTCTAGCGGTTTAGCACACCGTTTTACTTCCGATGGTCGCGGGTACGATTCCTCGCAGGATGCAATCATTTGTATTCATGAGTTTGATTGCTTGCCAATGCAAGCATTGGTATTTTCTATGTATGCATTTACTTAATATTCCTAAGTATTTCCATCAGTCGTCTAGCACCCATAATACAAGCTCTGCTTAGCTTAGGCACTAAATGGCACTGTGGGTATTGTCCAGCGTTATTATTATTATTATATAATAGAGTCATCTCAAAGTAAAAGTTATATTACGGGTAGTAGACAGTTATAAATACATTTTATGTTAATACATACATAATCGACATGGTAACGATCCAAAACAAATTAATATTGTTAACGAACCTTTTCCGGGACGGAATTCAAGGTCGTAAGAAGATGAGACAGTCTGCTAAATCGCTACACAGCCTAGGTTGTCAATTGTCAAACATAAATACTCTGTGCACATCACTTATAAACTAAACTAACCATTACCACAGATAAGATAATATTACATACCATTAGAAAATGTAGATATTTATACTATGTACCTACAAAGGTTATGAAGCGGCGGTAGGTAATATAGCTGATAAGTGAATTATTATTACTATCTGTTTTAATAATTATATTTTGAAAAATTTAGAAGACCTTTAAAGTTACTTTTTGAAAATAATCAATTTTATCAGATTAATGAATACATGTCAAAGTCAAATTTAAATTTAACCTAATATGAATGTTTACGGAAAAACAGAACCAAAAAAAAAAAAATATGAATGTTTACTGTTGACTTATAATCTTGTAACTGACGACCTAATTGTACCTGTTTTACATGGCAAATAAATAAATCTGAATTTAGATATACATTTTTATTAGAATGAAACAAATAAGTATTGTTTTGACGTAACCCAATTTTTTTATATGAGGATGAGGTGATGTCCATGGTGCTTTCATTTATAGTTTGTTTCATTCATGTGTATAGGCAACAGTTTCCTCTTGGGGGAAAAGGATTGCTAGAAATGTGAATTAATATCGCTACGTACCAAGTCAGGTAGACCTCCACGCGGTTCCCTATGGAAAATAATGTGATGAATTCTTGGTGCATTTGTCACGATGAGCCAACTGGCCTGATCTCATGCTCATTCTATCACCCTTCACTGGTGCGTTGCCAGCGTAAATCGTTAGTGCAGGCGGGTGCATCATTCCATATACATCCATAGAAAAGCAGTTGCTCATTACCATCTGCCTCAGTTTGTTTGTCATTCCGGTTACAAAAATAACACTAATCTAGATTAGTGTTATTCGGTTCCGTTCCACTAATCCAATAGATGGGCGTTTGATTTCCGCAAAATAACGTAAAATTCAAATAAATATTTGCTTTTTACTATACCATGTCAACTGTGTATCCATTTAATTAATAAATTAGGTATACCCAATTTTATAAATACTGTGGTTATTTTATTTATAAGTACGCAACTCGTAATGGTTTAATTATGCGTATGTTGAATATTTACTACGTTATCATCACAATAAATATTTGTTTATGTACATATTAAATAGCTTTGCATAACATTGGCAAAACATGAAGCGCCAGTTAACATGGCTAAATAAATCACGTGAATTTAAACCACGTTGCGGCGTCATCTATACTTACCGATTAGTTTATCCAAGTAGGTATACCTAATAACCGTAAGATTTTTCAAATTAGAAGAGAATGAATAACTTTGTATGAATGTAACAATTGTTGGGATCCATAATAAAAAAAAATATGAGAATATTACTTATGAGTTGCCAATACTTGAATGTTGTTACAAGCGACCTGGTTTTCATAAATATCCGTACGCATTTCGGATAAATCCGTAGATATTATATTGCGTTTATTTATTGTATACAATTGTAAATAACTATGTAAAAGGTTAAAACAGTATTAAATTGTCAGTTCTAAATTATATTGTTTTTTGTTTAATTAAATGAATTTTATACATTCTATTTTGAATCTTTAGAGTATAAATTATCTTGATCTCTGAATAATTTGACACTATAAAATTTAGTTTTACCACAAAGCTACACATTCAAAGAACGCTTACAGTCTTTGTTTTAAATAAAGTGTTTTGCTGGATGGTGCGTTGTCATAACAATTCGTTATTTTTGGAAAAAACCCATTCTATTTCATTACATGTTTATGTGATTATAATGACAACAAATGTCGCTATATTAAACAATAAACAAAAATAAAAAGCGCAGTTTTCCCATTTAACAATTAACCCTACAGATACTACTTCGAAAAAATATGTACGTATGTGTAAATTTTACACAACAAGTAACCTATCCAATGCGCTTTTTATTCGATCAGTTAATAAAATGAAGTGAATATAAACATATAAAAACAGCTTAGTACTGAGAATTCATATTCAAGATCCGCAGAACACTATCGCTTTTAGAAATAGACCCTGTAGGGCAAGGATATTTTGTCCTTAGGCACGTAACGTAAAAAATATTTTATTAGCCTAAACTATTGCCTAAATGTAATATTATCAATTTCATGTACATGCGGAATAAATATCGACAAATAATAATAAATGTTCAACACCCTTGTAATTTTAAAACAGCACCACTCCTTCCTTCCTTAGTCATCAGGGATGTCCATGGTGTTATATGTTTTTAGCAACAAATAATTATTTTATATTATGAATCTATGGTTAGTCACAAGCACTACCGAATGGTGGTGCCATCTCTCTTATTCTATTCGATTCGTATACCATACGTTGGTCAGTGTAATAATATATGTTATTCTAATATAACGAGTTATTTATTTAATCAGCTATCTACAATCCACTCTCCCAAAATTAGTCCTTCGAGCCGGATCTGACTCAGCGCTCTATGGTTCATGCTCGCAACACTATGCATGTCTATAGTTATGTAGGACTTTCAGTCAGCAATGGGCCTGCCATTGTTTATTCGCCTTTCCAGAAACATAAACAAAACTTTATTTCATAATAGTTTTTAGTTCCATCAAAAATTTTAAATTCCTTATTAATTTAATTATAAACATATCTAATGCCTGTTACTTATGATTATTGATTTTTTTGTAGTAAAATTTAATGGTATGATAACTTTAGCCGTATTAACATCTCATAGAAGGAAGTAATAAAAAAACAAGGTTTAGTCAAGTTCACAATATCTTTCAAAACGTGCACCGGCATGCACAACCAAAACAATTTAAAATATCGTAAGTTACTGCGTGCAGAGAGCTTTATTTGCATTGATGTGGATATTATCAATTCAAACCTTTAATTTATCTCCAAATTATTGCATATATGGATAAAAGACGAAAACGTGTGTACTAGTCCGTAAAAAAGTGTGGTATTAAAAAATAATGCCTGTAAGTAATCTTCTTTAGTTGGTCAGTAATGTCATATGCGTGTGTGACGCGTCTCAGTCCCCCCATGCGCACGCGCCGCGCATCCCCGCTACGTCGAGTATAAAAGACTTTGTAAAGCTGCCGCGCGCTATATTACAACTGTGCGTCTGTGATTTTTCCCGCCGCGATATTTATTTAATTCTTCCATAAAAGGTAAGTGATCTTGAATCTTACCTAGGTATGCAAAGGGATGATTTGGGATAGAGGACCTCCATCAGTCCCGTTACATAGTAAATTAATTTAATAAGTTCAGAGGTTAGTAGTACAGACCCTTAATTAGACAACAAAATCCTATGATCATCTCATTGCAAAACTATTATTTTACATTATTAAGTTGTACTCTATGAGTATTGTGTAATTTTAATTAAGAGATTAATTAGGGGCGCGTTCACATGTCAAGCTGATAAGCATTACGCCATGGCCCATGGAGCCGGCGATTACCCGTCTGTCAAGTGTGACACAAAAATTGCCAATTGAGTACTTGAGCCTGCCTGGGCCTGCACTTGCGTCCTTCTATTAATACGAACAAAACATCAGTACTGGTGTATAGAGACCGTATGTATGTCAAGCTGCAGTTGCGACACAGCCGATGTTCAGATTATGTTGGAGAGCCCTTTTCTACGGGGTTTCAACACGTCCTTATCAACAAGACGGTTGAATAATAATAAAATTATTTCCATAATATAATTAATAGTGTTTATAATGCTTTAATTTTATATAATACAAATGTAGCATAATATTTTAATATAATGTCGTAATATTAATTATTATATAATATGTGTTATAAACATGTGCTCTTAAAGATGAGCTAGTGTCGGTTACCTGGTTAAAAATTTCGTAATTCACATTAAAGCAATAACAGCCTTGTTTGCTTTCATTTAAAAGGATGTGAATTAGGCAATGATCACAATGTTATTATTTGTCGTGTTCATATTCAAGAGATTTATAAAAAGTATACATTACAAAATCTATGAAGGTCAACAAGATGAAAGATATTAATGACTTTCAAATAATACTTACTCGTGACAATTTATTACTTAAGTAAAATAGATCAGTTGATAAGAACTAACCTGTTTTGCTTGCATATTACACATTACAAAAATATTAAGTTGCATTTCATGACATTACAACAGTTCTCCAAATTATTAATGAATACATATGAAACATAATGAATTTGTATTAATAAATCTATATCGCTATATAATCCCAAATAATGATGCAACGACCACATTTTGCCATTGTAAAGTTATTAAACGAGATGTAGGTACATAGTACTGGTTTTTATGTGAATTTTCTCATATAACTTTAATATTTGGAGCAATTTAGTAATAAACATAATATATACAGACCTACGCAATTTTATGGTGTGGTTTTCGTATTATCAAATCTTGTCATCATAGATAATAAATGTATAATATCTAGTACACCCGTGGGAGAATAATTAAAACTTAAATTTATTATGTTTAAAGTTTGACGATATTCTTTGTCTCAATAAATTACTCTACTGTATTCAACCAAAGTAGACCTCAACATTTCTTATTGCAACAAATTATTTACTTAATTTTCATTTATTTATATTTTTATTATAATATTAGTCTTTCACGTCGACCGAAAGTTAGTGAAATATATTATATTAAAAAATTGATAACTATAAAATCTTAATAATTTAATTATAATAGGTACGTCGTAAATGTTGGAGGGAAATATCTGTATTCAATAAACCTTTTCAAATAATTTTCAATAATATACTAACACACACGGTAAACCGACTATTATTACCATATATATTTCATTGAAAGTATTTTAAAATAACATCAAATTTGAATGAAACGAAAAATCATGTCTTTGTGGTTCTATAATATCAATAATATGTAGTAAAATCTATATGCATAAAAGTGATAGCTATTTATTGATTTGTTCCATGATTTTATATTAGATATTTATTTGTGAAGATATTTTGTATTTACTCAATAACATAGATAACTTAACTATAAGATAGGACGCATTTTGTTTACTTCTTACTTTAGTTTTTATATGTCCTAGTAATAACATTAAAGTATATATCATTTATAAGCGTTCAGGCAAAAAATATTTGAAAGACATTTAGTTGTACATTATACGTGAATGACCGCAGTGAAGACCACTCGTTAGTACAGACTAACGACTTCAAAAAACAAGAAACGTTCTCAAATCGTCTCTATTATTTATATTTTCTGTATAAAGGGAGACTATATAAGACCACCTACATTTTCTGTGTTTTACCTATAAATTTCACTAACAATTAGCTTACTTACTCGCTGTCTTCTGATTTGAAGGTTGAGCTATTATTCTTTATGGTATCGATATGATTGTGGCAGGTAGTGTCAGCACTCGAAACCGGAAAAATAGCTAGTCGATAGACATACATACCTATTGACATACAATACATACAACAATGTTACTATATGTACGTATTGTATAAAATAAAATAAAGAGATCCTCACTGACTGCTGTATGAAGGCAGCCTTTGGGAACTTCAAATTTCAAATTTAGTATGTTTTCTGAGGCTTGCCTGCCTCAGAAAACATACTAAATTTGAAATTAGATAAAATTAGCTAAATGTAAAAAAAATTAAAGTGCATTCAGCAGTGGCAAATATATTTATATCTACATTATTATATTTGTTATCAAGAAAATTATATCTTTAATTGGTTAAAATAACCTATTAAATAATTATAATTTTCTTATGCTATCTGGAATATTAGAACCATTTTATACGCCAAGGTCAAGGCCTAATAATCCACGGGAATAGCATTGTTTCACATTTGTTGCAGAGTGTAGCGTGTATACCTGAGTCTTTTGGAGAAAATAAAACTTCTAGTAACCAAACTGGAGAGTCTTGAGAAATAAAAAATACATTGTAGCATATAGTCGCTTGAAAATAACAGTTCATAAACATTAGTTAATTATGTAATAATCAAATAAAAACGTTATACCTACTACCTAAGGCCTTGAATAATAATGGCAAATGGTAACTGATTACGAGTTTATTTAGTCTAAAATAATAATTCAAAAGCTAAACTTACTTCTTTCCTGGCCTAATTTGTACTTTGTTGATTTCTTCTTATGGGACAGTAATTAAGTCGGTTTTTGTTTTGTTATAATCTGTCTATCTAATTGTAAAACAACAAAAACGTGTAGTCTCTCAATTTCAAATCAACTTTAGTGTCGTTGACACGCACATTTGCCTCACTCGGTGCGGTGCAGATTTATTACAACTTAGTATCAGTTACGGCGGTTTTTGTTTCATCTATTATGTGCTGTGTTACCTCCGTGATAATTAAGTGATAAATAGGTATATCACCTTTGAATAGATATAATTATGATGTTGCTTGAAGTTTGATTTGATTCTCTCATCTCTTATTCGTATGATATTTTGTGTGTTACATTAAGGTACTATTCCGTACTAATTGCAGTAAGACATACTGTACGGTTCTTATATAGTACTATGTGACTCAGTTACGTGTTGCTTTGGCTCAGAAATTCTAATATTGAGATCAATAAAAACAATCCTATCTTTGAAGTTGGTCCAAGCTGCATACAGTGAGCCAAATTTCAAGCGAGATTTTTATATGTACATATAAGGATTGTGGTTTTATTTTACTTTACCCCATACTTAGCTTAAGTGACTTGAACATGCAATTCATAAATTACTATAATTATATAAGCAAGTTTGTCCGCGACTCCAATTATAATTTATTTCATGTTATGTATTAAACAATACTTTTATGTTGTATATATTAATTATTAGTTTTTTATACTTTAGGTGATTGTATGCTGTAATATTTGAAAAGGGTCTTTTTAAATTTTGTAAACAAAGGTAATAACAAAAGCATAGATTTATTCCACAAAACGACTGTTGGAGTATTTGCGGTTTGAACTGTGTTTCTAAGCAATCATCGAACAAAATTGCATTCAACTATTTACTGCTTACCTAAATTTCTACGAACCACAAAATTTAGAAACGACTTACTAATATAAATTTTCAAATTGTTTACCTACTTTGGTAATACCGAGTTTCTTACTTTTACAATTATTTATTAGCTAATTTGTTCGTAATATGACTTCAGTGCCAAAGTTCTTTGTCACATACTATTAGCTGGTTGCGATAAAAAATAAATCAAGCCCCAGCAAGTGACGTAAGTTTAAATATTTCTTTTCCAGATAACTACTAAATATTCATTCAAATCAATTCAATCATAAGCATAAACGTACTTAAATAATAAACAATGACTTTGTAGATAAAACGGAAGACCTCGGAGGCCTAGCGGTTTAGCACACAGCCTTTCCTACGGTGGTCGCGGGTTCGATTCGTTGCACGGTGCAAACTTTTGTTGAATATAGTACGATGTTTGTAGTGGTCTGGGTAATTTCTAAGTATATTATGTATGTATTTAGAAACAAAATTAGAAGTATTTATATCAGTTGTCTAGTATAATACAAATCTTGTTGTGATGCTGTGTTGTTTATAAAAAGAAGTTTTAAATATTGTTACAAGATACTGTTACTCTTAAAAAAAGCATTCTCTTATTTAATTGTAATTGTAAATGCGACATTAAAATTTAATTATTTTGTTATTGTCAAGTTTGTATTGAAACAGCTGTGCTGAATTGATTGACCTCATCATTCAATGACTTCTTATCGAATGCATCTGATTAATGTGTCATCAAGGTAACTTAAGTGTTTAGTTTAAGTATTAGAAGTGATGTAGGCTGATTACTACATATTACAACCAACTACATAACCTAGGTGTACACCTATTAGTTTGCGCTGTTAAATGAATTACGCCATATTTTGGGGCTTAGCACCTATTGTCATTGAGGAAGATTCTAGTTGTTTTGTTTTATTTGTAATTAATTAATTATTCAAAAAAGAACAAAAAATAAACAACGTACTTATACGTTTCGTATCACATTTACGGTATTAGGTACTGATTTCGATCGTAAATAACTATATAGGTGCAACTGCTTTTAGATTATTTAAAAGCTAGTATTTTCAAACATCGGTACCTAAGTAGTACAGAATATTATAAAATGAAACGTAGTAAAATATGAATTTTATGACGCTAAGCTGTAGTATTATGAATGTTGTAGTTTCATACAAACAAGGTAATA